TATGGAAAAAATATTGCACGAATGCAAGTTTAAAAAAACCGCTAGTCAGGTTAAAGTTCCATTAACAAGAGTAAGATTCGCAAACAAGTTCCCAGTCCGTCAAAACTTACCGACATCTTTTTCGGCCACACGCCAAAAAAATAGAGGCATCCAAATTAGTCTGCAAAAGAAGAAAAAAAGGAATGAAATCCGTAATAACAAATCCAACAATTTAAAAAATACAAAATGTCCAGACTAACATTTCGGGTCTCCGACTGTGATTACCATTAAAAGGAACCAGTCTATTAAAATTCGACATTCAAACGCACATCATTTCACAAAATCAACTACAAGATGGCGAACATCGACATTCTCATGAATTGGATCGCACAAGAGATCACCCGGTCAGACAAGGATAAAAGTGATTCTCCAAGCTGGATTTAGAATATGCTCACTAACAGCTACCATGGATCCGGTAGTAAAATCCTATGACAGTTTCAATTTTGTGGAAGGAAGAGCAACGATAACCTATCGATTCCAGACGGGGTACAATTAACTAACCGACATGGCACCGAGTTACGGTTCCTTCGACACGGGTAGCGAAGACGATCTGACCGAAAGATCAAGACTTAAAAATAGAAAATTGCGGAACTTATATGATAAAGCAGTGACACAAATGACTCTTCGGCCAGAACGGACAACAAAAGTGCTAGAAACTTGCATTGGTGGGAAAATAGAAAAAGAGGATGCGATCAATTTACTTGATCTGGCCCACTACAATCCCAAGATGGAATGCCGGCCTTGTCAGCTACGGAAGAAGACCAATAGGAGGTTCGGGACGAAGTTCGACAGGAACCAGCTATCCCGATATCCATCGAGGAGGAACGAATAATGGATTTACCGTCGGCATCTAATTATGGCACGGCCCAAAAGGATATTGAAGACCACCATATCCACATTCAAGAGGTAGCGTTAGAACCAGAAAAACTGAGGGCGAGCAGTTCGAAGAAAAAAGGCATAATTGTTGTTTGAAAAACTGTTACACTGAAAATTTTATAATTTTTTGAAATTAGGGGTGATTGGAGTATCTAACTAGCTGGATAAGGCAATATGTTTTCATAGTGGACAACCATCTGGATGGTCGCGACTGGTACTTGTCTGCAGTAATCCAAAAAATCATTCAATGCTGGTATCCAGTCTAATAAACCAAGGCAAAATTAGCTGGTACTGGGAGAAATGCTTCCACACTTCGAAAGTACTCTTTTTTGTTCGACCTAGATTGTTAGTGCGCTTGAATAATTGTATGTTCTCAAATTGAAACCATCATCTTGCATTAAATTTCAATTACTCGTTTTGTTTCCATTTTTTTTTTCGGAAAAACGAGATATTCCTAGGGAAACAGACATTATCTCCTTTACTTCCGGTATTTGAGTTTAACTCCTAAAGTTCGTCACCACAATGGTGATGAATGAGTTTATCTAAACTCAAAAAAAAAGTATTTGAAAAATATCCTGAAAATGATTATGAAAAAAAATTGTTTTTGGGTTAAAAAGTCTAGTACCCAGTTGCAAAACCTCTTTCTATCGTAAAAGTAAAAAAATATATCAACTAAAACGAGATCTAAGACGTATAAATGCTAAAAACTAACTTCTAGCAAACTGTTCAAACAGAAATCACTATCCAAACAACTGCAGCTACGACCATTAGCGTCGAAGAACCTAAAACAAAAAAGTCGCAGAAAATAGTTTTTCTCCCATCGGAGCCACGAGTCCTTGTAATCAGATCTTCTCTGTCCGTCGAACCCATCGTCTGTTTGTTTGATGTAGTTCTTTCGATCATCTCCGCATAGTTTACATGAAAAAGCCTAGTTTTATAGTCACTCTTCGATCTTTCGATTGTCTCTTCCAGTCTACTTTTCACACTGCTGGACTTATGTATGGCTATAGTATGGGTTGTTTTTTAGAGGCGGGAAAATATTTCGCACAACTTTTAAATACAAGGAGGCAAAACCAACTCGTTATAATGCAGTTTTTAATTTTTTATTCATGTTTGGAAATGATTGTGTATAAATCAACAAAGACCTAGTGTAAAAGCAAGTATGATGATTTTACTATTTGATAAGAGCTCGGATTCAGCTAAGTTCACACCTGTGAAAAAGCTTAATGGGACTTTTGAAGTTTTTAGAGCGCTCACCGCGCAAAACACCGAGATGATTCTCATCCTCTTATTGCCAACGAAAGCGAGCCGAAATTTATGATGATAGAGGATCAACAATGAAATGAGACTTTAGGCTAGCTCAATTGACTCGGAGTAGTTGATGACTTTCTGTTTTGGCAAGTAGAAGAACGAGAGCAGAGTCTCTTTTTGAATAATGAAACTCACTCTTTTTCTACTGCAGTAACTTAATCATTTTTCAAATAATCAATAGTATAATTGAAACGAAAAAAAAAGATAGAATCAAGTTTTTTTACACTCTCAAAATAGCTATAATAATCAATTTTTTATGCACATGTGAAATAGTTCAGATGAAATTCCTGAAAAAAAAAACAGTAAATAGAAACATCTCTTGTTGCAGTGTTTTCATTTTTATTTTTTTTATATCATGTTTTCTTAACTCTCGAATTTGCTATAATAATCAATTTTTTATGCAGATGTGAAAAAATTCAGATGAAAGTCCTGAAAAAAAAAGTCAATAGAAATATCCCTTGTTGCAGTGTTTTCATTTAGTTTTTTAGACTCAAGTTTTTTTAACTCGCGAATTAGCTATAATAATCAGTTTTTTTTGCACATGTGAAATAGTTCAGATGAAAGTTCTGAAAAAAAAAACAGTAAATAGAAATATCTCTTGTTGCAGTGTTTTTATTTAGTTTTTTTTAGAATCAAGTTTTTTTATTTCTCAAAGTAGCTATATTAATCCTTTTTTTTATGCACATGTGAAATAGCGCAGATGAAAGTCATGAAAAAAACAGTAATTAGAAATATCGCTTCTTGCAGTGTTTTTTTTTAAATTTTTTAGAATCAAGTTTTTTAACTCTCAAAGCAGCTATAATAATGAATTTTTTATGCACATGTGAAATAGTTCAGATGAAAGGCCTGAAAAAAAACAGTAAATAGAAATTTCCCTGGTTGCAGTGTTTTCATTTAAATTTTTGGAATCAAATTTTTTAACTCTCGAATTAGGTAAAATAATCAATTTTCTATGCACATGGTAAATAAATCAGATTAAGGTCCTGAAAAAAAAACAGTAAATAGAAATATTCCTTGTTGCAGTGTTTTCATTTAGCTTTTTTTAGAATCAAGTTTTTTTAACTCTCGAATTAGCTATAAAAATCAATCTTTTCTGCACATGTGAAATAATTCAGATGAAAAACATGGAAAAAAAACAGTAAAAAGAAGTCTCGCTTGTTGCAGTGTTTTCGTTTAGTTTTTTTTTTTAAAATCAGGTTTTTTAAACTCTCGAATTAGCAATAATAATTTTTTATGTACATGTGAAATAACTCAGATGAAAGTCCTGAAAAAAAACAGTATATAGAAGTATCTCTTGTTGCAGTATTTTCGTTTAGTTTTTTTAGAATTTAGTTTTTTCAACTCTCAAATTAGCAATAATAATAAATTTTTTATGCAGATGTGAAAAAGTTCAGATGAAAGTCCTGAAAAAAAACAGAGAATAGAAACATCCCTTATTGAAGTGTTTCCATTTAGTTTTTTTAGAATCAAGTTTTTTTAACTCTCGATTTAGCTGTAATAACCAAACTTTTAAGCATATGTGAAATAATTCAGATGAAAAAACTGAAAAAAGAGTGAAGAGAAATATCCCTTGTTGCAGTGTTTTCCTTTAAATTTTTTAGAATCGATTTTTTTTATTTCTCAAAGTAGATATATTAATCCATTTTTTATGCACATGTGAAATAGTTCAGATAAAAGTCCTGAAAAAAAATATGTAGAAATATCCTTTATTGGAGTGTTTTCAATTGTTTTTTTGGAATCAAGTTTTTTAACTCTCGAATTAGCTATAATAATCACTTTTTTATGCACATTGGAAATAGCTCAGATGAAAGTCCTGAAAAAAAACAGTATGTAGAAATATCTCTTGTTGCAGTGTTTTCATTTAGTTTTTTTAAAATCATGTTTTTTTAACTCTCGAATTAGCTATAATAATCAATTTTTTATGCACATGTGAAATAGATCAGATGAAAGTCCTGAAAAAAACAGTATATAGAAATATCCCTTGTTGCAGTGTTTTCATTTAGTTTTCTTAGAATCAAGTTTTATTCAACTCTGGAATTACCTATAATAACCAATTTTTCATGCACATGTGAATTATTTTAAATGAAAGTCCTGAAAAAAGAGTAAATAGAAATATCCCTTGTTGCAGTGTTTTCATTTAGTTTTTTTTAGAATCAAGTTTTTTTAACTCTCAAAGTAGCTAAAATAATCAATTTCTGATGCACATGTGAAATAGTTCAGATGAAAGTCCTGAAAAACACTAAGAAATAATTTCTCTAGTTGCACAATTTCCACTTCAATTTTTTTTCACATTTGAATAAAAAATTGTTTTTTATTGTTCATTTTTTTTTCGATGGCACATCTACCGCAGAGATCAAAGGAGCTTCGGAAGTTTCAAATGGAATCTGAAATCATTTTTATTTAAGAGATCTTCCCATTTTCCTTAAATTTTCAAAACGCAAGCATTTAAACTAAAATAAAAGAAAGCGACAGAATTAACATCGACAAAAAGTCTTTACTCAGTTTTTTATAAAAAGTTCAAAAGTCATGCTTGAGGGGTATTCAAAAAACTATACGATATTTTTTGGATTCGAGCGTGGAATAATAAGAAACTTAATTATGTTTTTCTGTTATGTTTCAGTTCATGAAGACTGATTTCGTTTATTTGGAGTGGTATTTTTTTATTATGTAGGCTTGGTGCCCTTTTAGTTTTCATCCGTAACGGCTTGCTTTCTTATGCCGCCGATAGATTGCACTTAACTGTTTTTAATCCTCTCTTTATGTTTGCCGTTGCGCAGATGTAAAATTTGCTCCGGCTTATTTAGCCGGTCAAACTATTCCAGTTGCCGAAAAATGTTTTTTTTTTACATTGAAAAAATGGTACACTAAAATCAACTAAAACAATGAACCATGGCGCTTTATGGCGCCTTTTAGATCAATGTATATTTTAATCGTTTTTTGTGAACAACCATCAAAAATCGACACTCTTGATAAAACTCAAAAATTACTTCATTACTCAATAGTCTCTTAAATCATAAAAAGCAAAGTTATCAATTTTCTATTCTCAATAAATTTCAAGAGTGACGTTTACTATCAACGCGTTTTTCGCTGATTACTTTTTTCTAATTTGTATCAAATGTGATCATTTAAAAACTCAAATCTGCTCAGCCTCTATCGTAATGTTTAATCAGCATTTGCATTATCATCACATTACGGCTTTAAATAGTACCATATCAATCAAATGGTCTCACTAAAATGGACTTCAGAATTTGCGGCTAGGTTTCTTATTGTAGCCGACTTTTGAAGCTGATTCTTTGCACACCTCTTTAAGTCGAGGAGAATAAGGCTGGTAATTAATAGCCTTTTCTTTACTCTTGAATTTCGAGCAAATTGTGGTTTTACACGCTATTTTATAGCGAAGTTTGAAATTTATTTCAAGCCTCATTGCTTTTTCGCCTTCAATTTCTTCAAATGTGCTTGGTACATGCTTAAAAATCACCGCACTTGTTGAAATGCTCTTGTGAGGGAAACCAACCAATGAGAAAAAATTTGAACGTCACAATCATTGAGGAAAATTGCTGGGGTTCTTAACTAAGTACTGAGGTTTTGTTTTCAAATTTTAATTAAATAATTTGATTTACTGCAAAGGCGAAACATACGTCCACTACCTCTACGGGTTGCCAAAATCAAATTATTGATTAACTTTTGCGTATTGTATTTTATGACTGGTTGTGTTAATTTGGGCGAAAACGGAATTTTTGCGGTGAAGCTGACTTAATTATATCTTATCCGCCATTTTGGTCAAAAAACTTTTGTCCATTTAGTTAACTCATTGATACACACTCGCACCATGCCTGATGTAGATTGACAATACCAGTGCATCAATTATGAAGTGGAATTGTTTAATCCCTCCGAGACTCGTCGGCAGGTTCAGTAGGTCGAAACAAGAGGCGGCCGAAAGAAAGAGGCTTGGACAAGACAATGTTCATTATCATCATCTATCAGAGAAGGTTGACAGCAGGGAAAATAGGCATTCCTCGCAGGTCCCTTCCAAAGAAGACTCCGCTACATTCAAAACTAAAAAATCTCATCGGTAAGTTCAACAGATAGCGAGAAGTCAACACTGAAAAGTAATTGGTTTTGTAATGACGTTTGCACTGTTAAGAAGAATTTTTATTTAATGGAGAAATGTTCACGAGCAATTATCAATTTAAGAATGAAAGCTCAAGATGCAAAAAAACGGCATGGAGTTGGAGTTGCAAATACGAGCTTCGCTCAACAAGATATATGGGGGGCTTAAACAATAGACAGACGGACTTTCTTTATACCAGCCAGAAATTCTTAGTGATGGCTCCTCTGCGATTCACAGAACTTCCAATTATTAGAAGGCTTGTGAAAGTGACTCGGTCGGACTCCTTTGTATCCCCTCCCTCCCTTTACTGACAAAATAATGATGTAAGAATATCGATTTCAATCGATATAAAATTGATTTGGTTTGATACCGAAGTGTAGCTGATGGAGAACAATCTTCATGCACTTTTTTTGCAATTTTTATTGCCGGCTTTTTCTACACTTTTTATAGTATTTCAATCGATTTTTTTTGACATTTTAACGCACACTTTATACATTTGTTATACACTTTCAAGTAATTGATAAAATGACAAAAGTGAAAAAGAAAATTTTTGTTTTTTCAAGATTTTTGTGTGTGCTGATGCTGATGGCTGGTCCCCCATTGGACATCAGTTTTGTGAAGTGAATGACAGACAATTACCCTCATGAGACGCCACTTATCTAATCACTCAAGTTTTTGCTTGAAATAAATCATTTCATGTTAGATCACAGTAAAATCACTTTCCGCATTTAGGTTAACTCGAAACTCCGGTACAATGATCCTCCGCCTTCATGGTACCCACGCTAGGCCAAGTATGTCTGTTCCGCGCAAAAATGCATTTTTAATGCGATTTTTTATAGACATTTGAGAGCGTATATATAAGTCATTTGACTGGGGTATATATAACTCATATTTCAATTAGTATTTGGTTAAAAAATGTTTTTTTTTAATTGACTAGATTGAGTTTGCGAGGATCCCTACAGCATAAATTAGAAATAACTTGCCCAAATGCAGGTTTTTGGAGTTCGCTCAAGAAATAGAATCAAGGTGGGAAACCAGGTGGGAAACTTTGGGTAGTAATAGACTTGCAGGCGCTCCAATCCGCCCGCTGGTAGCAGCAAAACTTAGAAAAAAACTTTAAGTGACCTTATTTTGAAACAAACTCAGACCAGACAAAAATAAAAAGGAGCATTTTATTGTAAGTTCAGGAAAAAATGAAAAAAATGCCCAAATTCAAGCGAGGCTTATAATGAACATCACTATCTCCACCCCATTGCTGCTGCGTAACCCAGCAGTCTTTGGAATAACTGCAAGTAATGCAGCCGGTAAGGGCAATCTTTCTTCCCATGACACGGGACTTGTCAACTTTTGAGGCTGAAAAATCGTGCAACCTATAAATTTACCTTGCGGAACTGTAAACTGAATTTCAAGCTTGGAAAGGAATGAACATTGTTTCTACAAGACACTGAGCAAAAAATGATTGCGACCCATTCATTTTTATTTCTTCCTCTTTCTGATAAATTTTTGGTTTTCCCTGAAAATGGACGAAGTGGAAAATGGCGCAATATAATATTTCACACTGCGCCACTATTTTAACCACTAGGCCAGGTTATTTTCTGAACTACTAGTTTTATAGTATAGTACTATTAGAATGGTTGAAATAAACGAGAGTGAAATCAACGGTTCAGTTTTTGTACCTCACCGATAGCGCTATATAGCCTTATACTAGTATTACCAAATTATTACCAAATACACCAGAAAACAACTACATGAAATTTTACTGCCATTTTAGCCCTTAACTATTACAGTCTCAAGCACCCAGTTGCTGACACAAATAACATTTGCGGTTCTCTTCGGTGAAGTTGGCCTGTTTATTGCTGAACAAACTAGAAGTTGGTTGGCACTTTGCCTTGCGGTTTTGGTTTACAAAAGTTTTAACTTTACTCGGCGACCCATATTACAATTAGACTGCGCTGATTCACGCTTAAAGTCAACACAAACACTCCATTTTCGCGTGCGAATTGTTAAGAACCCAAAAATACCACAGACAACCAGTAAAATCAAATCTATTGACCGCCAGGTCGCAATTACCATATGACTTTGTTTGGAAACAATTCTCAGAACACCGAAAATCACAGTTAACTGCTTTTGAAATCTGAAATACACAGTGCGATTGATATTATACCATTAGCAACTGATTGTTTTTTAAATTTCAACCTCAGTAATTATTCAAAACCTCAGCTAGTTTATTGTAGTATATTCTAAATGAATTTTTTATTTGATCTTGGATTCTCGTAAACTACAAGAGCAAAGTTCCTATTGTGAATACCACTGATGTTTTAGTTAGCATCAAAGAGAATCGTTTCAAATAGCATAGATGCTGTTTTACATCCGAGATTAACTTAAACAATTTACACATCTCCCTTCCAAGTTATAATAACTTAAAAGGAAAGTAGAAAATAACTCTGCCAATCGTAACAAAAGAAACACTTCCATAATAAACCTCTTTTTATTCCTCAACGATAAAGATTAAACTTAGACTTACACTACCACAACATTGAAGTTGAACTCAATCTGTTTTGCGCGCCTGTTGCCTATAGTCAGTAGCAAAAACGTTCAAAAAAAAATTTTAAATCGAGATTTTTTGATGGAAAAGTTTCCTCGTGCGTTCGTTGATACCCTATGGAGTTTGGTCACATCTACAGGGCGTATTCTTACCACTCACCCATCAACTTACTTAAAACCACCGGGTGTGGCTTTTAGACTGTGTGACAGACAGCACCGATCGGGCAGGGGTGATGACGTCGAACAAAACACCTGTCTCATAACCACGCCCACTCGCAAATGTGGGGAAGAAGACTACGATAAACATAAATTATTAAACGGAAGCAAACAACATTGCTGCAGCTGTTCTTGTAATGGTACAACTACCGACATACCTACAACGCCAAGATACAAAAATTCACAACTTGTACCTCAATCCGATGAGAACTCAAACCCAATTACGAATCCTCAACCGCCTTGCTCGTACCAACGAAGCCAGCATGACTACACCTACCACCGCTGTGACTCCTCGAACATACCTTGTTCACATCACGTGGGTCATCCAGGTAGTTTCGGAGGAACTCCTCATGAGTTTTTGACTGCGGCGACGGCGGGTAGCCCCTTGGGAATGCCGGTGGGTGTGGTTGCGGTGGAGCGTAGCGTGTGGCGGGAGATGGAGAGCGAGTTGGTGCAGATGAGGACTCTTTGCCACGCCCTTCAAGTTCATATTTCGACCACGCAGGTAAAAAAAAAGTCCAACAATTTAACCTGTTTTTTTTACCACCTTCTTTACCCTTCACGATTTTTTCACCCCATCAGTTGTTTATTCGACTACAGTATAGCGACATTTCAATCCCAATCAGATAGGTTATACAATTCATTTGAGAAGGTGGCGATGGGAAAAAAATAGGAACAACGGTGTTAATTTTCAATCTGTGATAACAGCCATTGCCTTCTTAAGCAAGTTATCCCAATTTTGGCCGCCCGCCCGTGAACAAATTTTACCTTCGCCAAATGCTTCCCGCCGATTTAGCCTTTGGGGCAGCACCTCTCCCCTTTTTAGCAATTCAGTGTTGTAAATATCATAGCGAATTCGATCCTATGTTCTTAGACATTCTCACAAGACGCCAGTACCCAAACTATCACCCACGAAACAACATCGGCCAAAGAAACCCACACAACAAGAGGAACTAATCAAGTTAATGAGGAATTGTCTTCGGTCAATGTCAACCTCATTACCCAATCAGAATTACAAAAGAATTACCGAGAAGACGGCGAGAGCGACCTACGCTCTGCCATCCAATCCAATGCATCCAGCGGCTGCACGTCGCCCAATGTTTTTCACACCCCTAATTCTAATAATATTTTAACGCCGATCGGCAATTTTGCTACACAAAGAAACTAAATATTGAATAAAGCTTTATTTTTTGTTGTCTTTTTTCTTAATAAGTTTCATTTTCTAAAACAAAGCCGAACAACCAAAAGTTAAACCAGAGCAGTAGCGTGCCGAGGAAAGGGAGGGGCGACCACCCCCCCCCCCCTCAATTCTGGTTGCCAAATTTTTCCAAAGGGTACCCCCTTTGGTATAATTTTATGACATCCATTTTCGCTGAACAACCTCAAAACTTTTCTAAAGGCCTCTTTGGCCAATATGACTTATTTTAAGGGGGGAGCGCGCGTCGAAAAAAGCGCAATTTTTTGTCAAAATTTTCCAAAAAGTGCCTAAAAACTGCGGCGCAGAAAATTTTTCACAAAATAGGGTTCTTAAACTATTTTGGAAGAGCTTGGAAAATCAAATTGGTCAACCTAGAAAAAAAAAGAAAAATTTCAGGGAGAATAATTTCGAAGAATAATTTTGAAGAAAGGTAAAAAAAATATATGTTGAAGCAAAAAAGCGGCCAGCACTGAAAAAATTTACGCACACGTTATAAGTTTGAATCTTTTCAATTAATCATCGCAAAATTAACTTAATAATTGCCTAACTGAACGCGTTATTGAAACTACAATGCTGATGTAAGTTATCCGGATAAGATCAACAAAATTTGAAATTTCAAACCTGTTTTTCTCAAATTACTTTTTAAAAAGGCAAAATTAAAGGAGACAAAACATGCCTAAATATTTACCAGAACGAACATGATGCAACTTTTCAGAGTTTCAGAACCAAAGTTTTACCCCACAATTGGCCATTTTGGCTATTTTTAACTGAATCAGAAATTACGCTTAAGCTACCAGGCTAATTAAACAGAAAGTTATAAGAAGAAAAGCCTCTTACAAAGCCCAACAATTTTCTACGAAGGTAAAATCTCCACACATTTGCGCAAATTGAGCAAAATTTGCCTTTAAGCAAAGATTACGGGTTTTATTTAGTAAAAATCACATTTTTGATCATCACGTTGAATTTTTTGACTATCAAGCGGGTTTTTGGAGACTTAAACTTCTAAAACATTGTAGCACTCTGTAGGAGGCTTCTTTTTAAACAGTTTTCCTATCAATTAACGTGACAATTTTAGCTTAGTTTTTGATTAACTAAAAAGCCAAAATGATTAACTTTTGAGGAAAATTTGTTGCGAAATTCGCAAAATAAACAGCATTATGCTAATTCTAATACTTTTCTTAGCAAATTTTGTCTTCTTTATCTTTTGTTCTCGGCCCAAATTGAGGAAAACGCATTTGAAATTTCCAATGCTGGTCGTATTGTCCGGATAGTTTTAACCAGGACTGTATGTTTCGCAACGCAGTTCATTTCGAGCAGTCAAATTCCAGTATTTCAAGTTTTAAAATCATGTTTGATAATTACAAAGCTAGGTAAATTAGTTGAAAACAAAAGTTAGCCAAAAGACAGTGGGAAGCATCAACGAATTTTAGTAAAACGAAAAACAAAACGATTGGTTTGTTTTTAAGAAATTTTGATTTTTCGAATTTGGAAGAAAACATATCACGCTAAAGATTTTTACATGAGGAATCTTTTTTTTTGCAAAAAAATAATAAATTTAAAAAAATTGGATCAATGCGTAACTTTTTGTTCCACTGGGAACTCTAAAAAATCAACTAAAAATCAACTTGCAAAATTTTAATTAGTTCAAGTTTAATCAAGCCATTTTTAAAATTTTTAATAGAGAAGGCAATTTGCCTTCGTTTTGGGGAAGAATGACAGGAATCATAAAGAAGGCCAATTCTAAAATCAAACCGTAAAAACTCAAACTTGAGCATGAGTTACTAGAAAGTGTTTTCCTAAAAATTTAAACACATTCTATATTTTGAACTAAATTCTTTGACACTGAGAAGTTGAAAGTCATAAGGAACTTAAAACACACGAGCTTTTTAAAATCATTCAGCTCAAAATAAAGAAAAATCTCTCAAACTTCGCAATGAGTCATTTTTTCAAAACAAACTAGAAAAATCAAATCAACCTTTAACAAAATATGATTTGGCAATAATAAACCAATAACTGACCCGACCGGTAAATTTTGAATTGATACATTAATTTATTTTTTTTCCAAATTGAGTAGTTTTTTAGTGCGTGGTTTGAGCCCAATCAACAAATTGTTTTTTTTAAACAATTCCTGGTGCTTCATTTGATTATCGTTTATTTTTGTGAAATGGTCAACCAAAAGAAACACAGCTTGTTTTTCCAAAATATATTTTGTTTAGAATTTCTTATTTGGCACAGTGGAAGAGGTGAATCATGCTTAAAAACTGGCTTTCTGGAGCTGAATTTTTTTTTAGTTTTTAGTGTAATTGCTTGTTTTTCTATTTTCAAATAAACAAAAGAGCTTCAAATTAGACTAAGAAAATTTTTAACTAATCGTTTTTGTACAAAGAGCTTCAAATTAGGCTAATAAAATTCTCAAACCAATTGTTTTTGACAATGGAAAAAATTGACAGAAACTTTTCAACATTGACTAAATCATGACCGCCAAAAATACTTTCATAAGATATCTTTCGACATATTACTATGATCATTTGCAAAACCCGCTCTTGCGTGGAAAAAAAACTAAGACTACCAAATATGAAATTCTTCCCAACTTTGGTATTCAAAACAAAAAATCTTGCTTGAAAATTCTAGATGAGAAGATATTTAAAATAGAGGAGCAGTAAATTTCCATTTATTCGGTAATAACAAGAGTTAAAATAGAACTTCAGTAAAACTGTGAAAAGTAGCCACACTAGACTAGCAATCAGATCATTGAAAATAAAATTGGTGTTATTTCGTTTCCCGCACTTTTCTTTAGCCAGTATCATAAGTATGAATTTTGGAGCTATATCTTACCATGTCCTCTCACTGATTTATGTTAAAAAATTTTAAACTTCGCGAAAAATTTTATCTTAGGGTTTAAAGACCTTTAAAATCATTCATGATTTGAAAAAACTCTTCTTGTTGAAAACTGCAACTAAAGTAAGATGCCGCTTCAACCTAAAAAGTAAATACAGTACTATTGCGGATAGTACATCTTTTGTTCTGATTGAAACGCATCAAATATTAAAAACGCATGGAGTTTTTTGCCATATGCGCACGTAATACCAGCAAAAATTCAAAAAAACTTGTGCGTCCATTTATAAAACATCTGAACCAAAACTCTGAATGCAACAATTCGAGATATACAGAGATATTTTTCCTGCTCAGACTCAATGTCTTTATATCTTTCTGAGATATTGATCTAGATTTTTCTTCCTGTTGCATTTTTTGCCGGCTTCAAAGCGCAAGATATTTTAGGACAATATTTCGTTTACATTTTGTCAGATCAACTATTGACATCTTTATTTTTTTTTGAAAGCGATATTTCGCCATACTGCATCTTAGTTTTTGATAATGCAGCCATGAGTGATATTCAAGTTCCAGGGAACTCAAAAGAATCTGAATGGGACAACTGATTCATCATTGCTTCTGGAAAAAAAATAAAATAACGCGTGCTAATCGCAAGCTTAAAAAAGATTCCAAATTCTTCTTCAAGGCAACAAGGGGAATGTTTTTTTTTTTCAAAAAAGTATCAAATTAATTACACACTTGCTGTTTCTCTGTGCATCAGAAAAATGTACTTCGAACTAATTTAATATTTTCCTGAAAATCGGATACAGGCTTAACTATTCTATTATCTGATCTAAATGCCGTGATGTAGTAACGTCGTTGCCAAGGTTCCCCCCTTTTTAACTCTAAACAACTTAACACCCTACAATTTCACTCCCTACTTTTTGTTGCCTTAGCAATATAACATCGCTACATTTTAAAACAATTTCTATGACTTTCTATGACCGTTTTAATCTAAAATGAAAAGAAAACTTACTTCAAAGGGGATTTCGGTAGCCATCAAAGAATTAAACGAGAGAAATTTTTGCCATTTAAAGCCAGACAAATTTGCGCTACTTAATTTGCGTACGTGTTGAATAGGAATGACCTTGCAAATGATTTCAATGAAACGTTTCAAACCAAAATCAATGGCCTTGCCAATATTTTCAATGAATCATTCCAAAATGAACCAAAAACAAGCAATAGTTCAATGAACTTCAAAAAACCGCAAATAATTAGACGTCCTTTGACTAATATGGCCTAATTTTCTAGACATTTTCAGCCGGTATAGAAATTTTAAAAAGGTTTAACCAATGCCAAAAGCCTTAAAAATCATTATTTTTAGAATCATTCTCGAACTTAAACTTATGACCTGATCGTTTTGTCAGCTTTTTTTGAACTGTTGGCACATAAACGCAAAGCTAAAGGGTTTGCCAGCCCGTAGTCCCAACCTAGCATCCCGAAAATAAGGGCAATTGTCCTGGGATTCAATTGCTGAGGCACGATTCATGTTCTTGCGTTTAGTTACGTTTCCGGGAGTCTGCAAGGAAACGTCTTTTCAAAAAAAGCTGACAAAAATTTCAGTAGGATTAAAATTTGAATTTTAATAATACGAAAGAACAAACAAAAATGAAATAAAATTTACAATGGTTCAACACAAACTAGATAACGCTCTGAAAAAGTACAGATCAGTTTTGTCTTCGTAAACGGACATTATGTTTTGTATTCTTTCATTTAATACTCGATACTTTTTCTTTTTTGTGAATTTATGGCCACTCGATGCATCAAAAAAGTTGCGTTTTTGTATGGAAGCGTCTTTTTGCAGGCTACCCACTACTTTCCACATATTTGGGTGGGCTCCGCTGAAATATGATTGAATCCCGAAATGCCATCCCTCGACAGCATTTGTTGTTCGAGCAATCCCCATCACGGCCGCATCTCGCTGGTTCCAAAGGGAGGGTGGGAATGAAACTTCACGGTTTGGCACCAAGCTTTTTACAGCATGCAGCAATTCATACAGCATTAGATTTAATAGTGAAATGACTAGGTGTTAAAATGTACTGTATTAAACTGGAAAATAGGAGTTATATTGTCGATTTAAATTGTTTAGTAGTGAAATGACTAAGTGTTTAAAAGTACGGTGTTAAATTGCATGTCATTAAATTGTAGGACACCGTTGCCAACAATGAGCAAAAATATGATAGTCGCACATTAATTAGTTTGCACAAACTACATGCCCTGACCGAATTCGACCCTCCGGTTGCTGTGGTCCGAAGCATGAAACTTACTTTAGGCCAAATAATCCGTATCAGACACTGAACAGTGACAACGATTGAAACTATTAATATATTCAAAGGTTTTTCCAACAAGTTTACAGGAACTTTGTTTGCTGGTCCTGTCCTACTTATTTAAAGTTTGTTGCTTTATTGACTTTTCCAAAAAACTTTAACCGTAAAATGGCTCTAGTCTACGCTTATTTGTCTTGAATTTTTGGCCGAAATGACTCAAACAGAAAGGGCCATTAACTTTGATCAGGAAATAATGGCTAGATGTTGGAAAAACAGTTCAGCCGCTATGTATTTTCAAAAGGTCATGGCACGTTTTTACATCCAACCACTATTTCTTGATAAAAAAATGCCCTTGTAAACGAACACTGTGAAACGAAGAGTGAATCAGCTCAAATTGCCCCATTTAAAAACGAAACTTATAATCTGAATTGCTAAGCTATCTTATGTGTAAGCTAAAACATTTAATCTATGATAACACATAGCCAACAGACCAGTTTAAAAATGTCAATGAACTCAAGAATACGAATTAAAAGCTTCGAAACTCGTAGGAAATAAATCAGCTTGAAGCTCTTTGAATTTTCAGAATCTTTTACAAATTACCCCTTTTAGAAAAAACTAACACAATTTGAGAACACTGTATCAATAGATACTTTTTTTTTTACTTTGCTACAAATTCTGAAAATTCATTTCCATTTGGAAGATTAAAGTCTATCAGATTTGTTTGCTCCGTCATTTATACCTTTTCCTCCATAAAAATTAAACACGACCTTGATAATTGAATTCACTGCGTTCATTTACACAAAACAATTTTCGGGATTTTGATTTGAGTAATTTAAATGTCTAGTTCATTATTTCATTCGATCTGATTGGTTTGAAATGTTGTGTCACTTTTTCTAGAGTGTGCCGGGAAGACCACATGCTAAAAAGGCATTCCATCCCTGCTGTGACCTGGTGGAGAAGCCTCACCAAAAACCATCGTTCCACATCTATCTACCCTTGTCTCCCTTTCAACACTGTGTGGATCTGGTTGTCGTGTATGATATAGTACGGACTGCCCATTGAGATGTGTTTCTTGTCAGTCGTCTTTGTTGATAGGTGGTCTGGTTTCGTTGTTTTTGATCACACACTGAGCAAGCCACACAATCGCATCTTTGATACCTCAAAACAAATATTTTTGAAGGCCAACAAAATAGAGTCGCTAAATTATAGTAATATAATTAATTTTTACTCACCGCCGAAGCGTGGCTTTGCACCACTTGCGATACAACACAGAAATAAAAACTAGAAGTTGAAAAAAATTGGAAAAAGTTGAAAAAATAGGTCTATGAAAACTTAAAATTTCTTATGTATCGATAGAAGTCCATTCTAGGCAAACATGCCAGACATTTCAATAATAAATTAGCAACGGAACAAAACGAACAAAGTGGAAACAAAGCCGAACATGTTTGAGCAGACACAAGCTGAGCCTAAAAAAAAGATTTAATAAAAAAGACCTTTAACATTTCAAGCCCCACCTGAAACTACAATGAACAACATTTGCAGTTGCAACTACACGCAAATTAGCTTACAGCACAAGAAAAATCAAGGAAGTTGCAACTAAGCCGACATTCTTTGAGCAGCCACCAGTTGAGCCGAAAAAAAAATGATTTTATTTTTTTAAAATCTTGAAAGCGACTAGATTGAACAACACTTGCAACTGCAATGAAAGTTGCTTACATCAACGATGTGGCAACTTAGCCGACAAAACTTGAGCAGAAACGCCAAGCCGATTTTCCTTTCAAATTCAAAACTAAGTTAGAAAAATTTACGCCTTTCTCCCCTTATAAAACACACAGGCATATAAAAACCTTTTTTGCGCGTCAGGCGACGCAAAAAAAGTCTACTAAGCCGATGTAAAACAAGCCGAAACCTATTGAGCCGAAAAAAAATGAAATTTTAACAAAATGAGTAGTAAAAAACTACCAACTTAACAATTGCGAATTTGAGCGTAAAATTGTGTTTCCCTTGAAACGATCGAAAATTAGGTCAGTAAGCCGATATCAAATTGGATTAATAGTTTGGGCCGAATAAATTTTTTGTGCGGAACAAAAAAAGAAATAAGAAGTCAAGGTAAGTACAATTACAAAACTGCAGGAGTAAATCAAACACCGGAAGCAACCTTACACAAAAAAGCGCGCAGCAAAAAAAAACAGTTCTGAGATATGGCAACTAAACCGACAAAAGATAAGCAGACAAAAAATTGGCCAAAAACTTTATTTGAAACCGAAAATTTCCTATTTGAAACAAGAATACCCGGTTACTATGCACGTAACACAGAATTTTCCAACCACAGTCTTAAAAAATACAAAAAGTTTTCTCAAATTGGTGTCCTTTTTTCTGCATCTTTGTGATGAAAAAATCTGAACAAAAAATAGAGTTTATTTGAGAGTCATAGTAAAAAAGGTCGCTTGGAAAACTGGAAAACAGTTTTTGAAAAAAAATGACTAGAAAAACGAAAAAAAAAATTGAAATAGAAAAGAAATTAAAACTTTTTTTGAATTTTCGATTCCCAAAATTGCGCTAAAAAGCACCAGAGAAACTACCTTTGCTTGAGTTTTCATGACTTAAATAAGCTAGTGCAATGACTAACTACCTTACTAAGTAGCTCGAAATTATATTGGACCAAAAATTTCAAACCAGTTTTTCTCGACACTGAATTTTTTTTGAACTTTTCTATGTCGTGACAGTCACGACTCAAAGGGCTTTAATATGATATATCACTCAACCTTGTCCGATGATTATTTGTGGTAGCTGATTTTGCGTGGGAAGCACAAAAACTAAAACACAACCGAATACAAAGTTCCTCCCCATTTTCAATGGTCGGAACAAAAAAAAACAGGTTGTGGTCAGATTCGACTCCAGGACCTTTGCCGTCCCAGGCGTATTCTTAACCTCAAGGCCGGCAACGCTGAGAAATTTGAATTAATTATGAAACAAGGTATCACTAGAGATGAGTACTGTGAACAAAACTTTTTACGGGAAAAAAGTCTAGTACCCGATTGAAATACCCTTGCTTATCGCAGAGTAAAAAAATGATATCATGTATCAAGAAAATTTGAAACTATCGTGTTCAGCTATGCGCAGCGCGCCTATTTTTATATTTTTTTATATAGTCGACCTTGAATTTTCTGTGTCGATGACCTCGATTAATCGGTTTTTGAAAACAAACCAATATTTCACTGCGGTCATTAAGGTTTCAAAATTACACCCGAAAGTTGAGACGGCACTTCCCGACTATTTGTATTCTAACGAAGGCGTTTTGTGGCAGCTATCTTCTGAGAAAATGAAATATCGTATTTTGATACCTCCTTACCTTGTCCATGTAGAGCGGACACTCCCCTGACGGAGCAGTCTCTGCTGCCCATTTTAGAGGCACTGTCACTGAAGGCCTCTCTAATCTGGTTCACATTCAGACACCCCACCATGTCCTGCTTGTTGCAGAGGAACAGAAGAGGCACCCCCCGCATGTGCTCATTTCTGATCATCTTCTCAAACGCCACTCTGCTGTCATCCACTCGTGCCTGAATAACATGAATACTTGAAACCACATGCAGAAATTACAAACCCAAATTAAGTTGGATCAGGCAGAATTGGTTAAGTTGAAAGTAGAATCTAGATTTTAAAAAATGTCGGAGGGGGAGGGAGAGAGTGGCACATTGAGGAGAGTAGAAGCATTTATTCAAGATTTAAAGAAGCAGTTAAAAAATTGAATTTCGTAGCTTTTTTTATCGTTATATATTTCATTTATAACGTCTACTTTATCGTGTTTTTACGGATGATTTGGTTGTTTCGATTTGGGTCAATCCTGTTGCTGCAGCTGTTCAAGATGGAAGAACAGCCAGAGTGGCGCTGTGCGAGAGCGCATCCTACCCTCATTTGAGTTTTTTAGAAGTTCACTCAAGGATTGCTTATTCACTCAAATTTGACTGTATGTCTTTCAGTATAACATTTCACAGTTTTAGTATACAGGTGCTTGAGGTCTATTCTATGATGTTTAAAAACTGAATCAGTTGACAGTAGGTCGGCTAACACTTTCTCTCATTTTGTTTTCAATGTTCCTTTCAGTTTGCTATTGCTCGTTGATTCTCTATAGTCTCCATATTGCTGAGGATGGCTTCCGAGATAGAAATGTTTGACAAGCAAGTCATTATGCTCTTAAACAGGGAAAATTTCGGTTCAATCGTGTAAATGATCTATGTTTGTCATTTCAACACAGCTAGTTCTAGTTCTATGTACAATTTTTTGTTTCAATTGAAGTTTTGACCAGTTGGTGGTGTTCAAATTTGAAGATCAGACTGGTGCAGCGAAGTTCAATACGATGCACCTGCTTGCTTTATAACAGATGGCTTACTTTCTTTTTGGCAACCCCAATCTCTTTTTGCACGTTTTTGAGTAAGTTACTTCAGGTCTGTACTCGTGCGCAAGTATAGATTATTGTTGTTCCCAATGTGAAAATGTTGTCATAAGTAGCAGTACCTCAATGTCTTCTATGATTAGAATCTTTAATAGTCCAGCCGTTTCGTGGGTCGGAGACAATTGGACTGCGTCGCAGTACCTCCGAGTCAAAAACCTTGTTTTCGTATTTGAGTCCTTAAAAATTTCTTGCTTCTTAATCTACCAGAATCATGTTTTTTTTGTATGGGACTGCGGCAGTAAAGGACTGAAATTGGTTTGTCGGTCTGAGAGACCTTGCCTCTCTTCTACCAAACTGTTTTAGCCTTCAAAAACGAATAATTTCAAGCAAGCAATTTTGAGGTAATAATTAACTAATCAAGGTCATGATTAATGCATGACTGATCAGATTGCTGCCGAGCTGTAAACTCTTTATGGTCGTTTCGCTGAGTGAGAAAGATGCATGATTTGTTTTTCCTGTTTTTGCAATCGAGCGTTGTAAATAGCTGGTATTTCGTGTTTAGAAGAGATTGACAGTCTTGAAGAACTCGATGAGGCTCTGAACATCATCCAGCGTTTAATTGACAGCGCTCACAATTTCAATCAAGTTGATTCATTTCGATAATTCAGTTTGAACTCGTCCTGTTTTTAATCTTGTATGATATCATGTACTAGGTGAAAAAGGTTTCGGATCAAAAATGTTTCGAATCAAGTTTGTGATCACCGTTAGCTCTATTAGATTTGAATTTAGTACACGCCGTTCTTTGACCAACGCGGTTTAACAATTATTCATAAACACTAATTCAAAAATTCGGTTTCAATCATTAGTTGAAACCCCCCTTTTACTGTTCTTTTTGAACTTTAACTTTAACAAAAATTATTCAGAGTTGCAACTCGCATTTCAATCATAAGTAGATAGCTCTTTTTTCACTCTTTTAAAACTTTTATTTCAAGGAAACTATGAAGTCTAGAAAATTTGGCTTGATAGATAACTACCGTTTGGCTTTCTTTTCGCAATATAATTTCAATCAAAGCTGTCAAATTTAGTTTGATTCACAAGTTGATACCTTTTTATTTTTTCTGAAGTTTTGGTTTGAATCATGAATTGATACCTGCCTTTAAATTCAACAAAAGCCACCATGATAAGAACTTTCGTTTCAACTTCAATAAGCGCATGCAAGATTTTTTAATAACAAGTTGATACCTACCCTTCGACTTTGGACTTCAATTGGACAACCTTGGACTTCAATATAAGCTATCATCAATCGGAACTTTGGACTTAAGTATAAGTTACTATGAGCTGGACCTTGAACTTTATTATGAGCTATTATTAACCAAAACTTTAGTTTGAACCATTAGGCGGTACCTTCCTTTGGCTGCCTCTTTAACTTTAACTTCAACAAAAGCTAGTTAAGTACAATAGAATGTGATACTTACTTCGTCTAGTGAGTCTACAACCCAGACGACTCCATGGCACTCGGCGTAGTATTTGTCCCACAAACTCTGCAGTTCGTCTTGTCCTCCCAAGTCCCAGAACAGAAGATTCACACCCTACACAAACATTACAGAATCATTCAATCAATTGAGTGGATTCCCATACAACATTGAGTCCCTATCCCCTTCGTAGAAAAAAAAGATAAAATATGCTTTGACAGCCCATAAATCTCAAACGCATACTTGAATGAATTGCACGAACTGCTATATACAAAACATTGCATATTTTGGTTGAAAAATTATAATTTACAGTATTTACAAAGAGTCTAATAACAGGAAAGGTCCAAGCACGATTGGTTCAGAGGCCACTATTGGTTGATTATCATTTTAAAGCACGCACGCCCTGCTTTCTTTTCCAAGCAATCAAATTTTAACTTCAAAGACAAAAACTTTGTTAATAACAAAAACTGTTGAAAATTTTCAGAACTTTTAGCAGAGCTAATTGAAAACTGCAAGCATTATATTGTATTATGCCTTGCGGCCCGAATTTGCATTACTGTTCCGAACTCTACCACGCCAGTAAAAATTAATTGCACATCAGTCTGAGTTGGTTTATCTGTGACACTTGAGAGCTAGATAATGGGAGCTGAAGATGTGCCCAAAGTTATCTGTTAAGTCTTAAGCGAAAAAGAATACAATTGTATTTGCTTTAAGCTTCCGAATATGCTGCGTGAGAAATATCGTGGTGCGCTGAACAATAATTTGCTGTCTCCAATTTTGTCATGCAATTAAGTGCTTTTCTTCTTACCAGTGTGGATATATTTCCGATATTGAGCCCGATGGTTGCAGTGATCTTGTGAAAGGGTTTGCCAGTGTAGCCAGATGTGAATTTAATTTTAGTGTGCTCCAAAAGAGTAGTCTTGCCCGCATTGTCCAGTCCCAAAATTAGCACGTTGTACTCGTCTCTCTTCAGCAATTCACGCACAAGCCCACTCACCAACGTATACATTATTACCCGAAAAAATCCAGACGGTGTTTAAATGTTGTAAATTGTGATTCTTATATTTCGTCTCCCGCTAATTCTGTGGCAAAATACTGTACAATGCGAGCATAATTCAACACGTCTAGGCATTCAAGGAAGGAATTAGTTGGTCACAGTTCATTGCCATAGATCTGAAAACAGCAAAAAAATGCAAGGAGCCTCTACAAAACTTAAAAAAAATCCTTTAGGTAGATTGTCAGCATACAGCTGAAACTATAGCGGGTGGAGGGGGTGTAGTGGGACTTTTCTTGGTTCTGCGCATTTTCCAACTGATTAAACGCCACCAGAATGACGTTCGGAACCAATCGGTGGCGCGCAGGATTTGCAGAGAAAGATTTTTTCTCAAAATGCGCAGTTTACAAAGACTTTTTTAAATGCGTCGTTTACCAAAACTTTTTTCTACAACTCATAAACCTTTTTAGGTTTCTTACATTTAGATCACATACAAAAACGAAACAATACAAAATCTCCGAAATAAACGTCATGAGAAGCAAAATCTTTCACAGCATCAAATCTTGCACTGCATTATCTTTCACAGCATGACTAAACAATTATTGTTCCGACTTTCGTAACGAAAGTAACGGAATATTTGTGCTCGGGGTGGATTTTTTCTTCAGACAAACTTCGACTTTTTACCAAGCCATTTTTGACGGAATTTTATTCATATCATTCGAAAGCTATTGTTGTCCTGAGCTTAAACTTGAAAAGACATTTCACCTTAGAACATTCTTCGTTAAGTTATGGGGTTTTAAAGATCGCCATTTTGGGACAATAAGCGCGCGCTATATTTCGCGCCATTAACGCGTGAGCGAGGTTTAATCCGTCTCAAAAATCTTACATATAAAACATTATAACAGAACAGAACACAAATATTTTTATTTTGCGACATTGCTGAAAAGTTTTCTGACATACAACATAATTACTTGCTAACATACATGCAATTTTACCAGCTTTATACTGTACGTAATCAAGTTGGCGGTTTTACCAATCTTGCATTTATGCTGGATATCCTTACAAAACTGGACAGACGTGAGCAAAGTTCCTGAAAGCTATATATACTGTCTCGGACAATGCGCAGCCATCAAGCATTCTTCTTGACTTCAAACGAGCCGCTGTCAATACTTTCACAAGTACATATCCAGAGTCTTCGATCAAGGCTGTTGCTTATACCTCTGCCAAGCATTTTTACACAAATGAGCGGACTGAGTTTAAAGACAGCTTACGAAAATAATTGGGAACTAAGTCTGGCTCTCTGTTTGATACCAGCCTTAAGTTCTGTTCCAACTGACTAAGTCGACCAATTGTTTGGGAGCGTTAATGAGGAAATCGAGCTTAAGGTTGATCGAACGGATCTCGAGCAATGCATGGGAGATAAACATGACGAACATGGCGTCTAGAGAAGCTACATAAAAGGGGAACAATAGGTCGAAACAGTAGACAGCCCTTGTTTCCCATGAGACTCTGGAACCATTCCCAAGAAGAGGCAGAACGTTTGCTCCGAACAACAAACGCCGTTGAAGGCTGGAATTTCGGAGTGACCGCGCTATTTCAAGTAAGTCACCCAAGTCTATACACCTTTCGGTTGCTCTTTTCGGCACCTGATTGGAATAATTTGTGGTTGGTGATAGTGATCAATTATGGTACCTGATTTTGACTCTGAGCAAAAAGCATATTCACAAATATTTTGTTGATTGAACAGTGCCAGAAAAAAGCAAATAGTGAAATTGACAACATTTTTCCCGTAGTCTGTTTCTTTCAGCTAATGATACATAAAAATCTGTTCTTTCATGTTCCACCACTCCGGTCTGTCATCCAACTATCATAGTCCAACAAAACAACAAATTGAATAACTAGTTTAAAAACTGCCGAACTACTTTATTTCATGATTGTAATTATTTCAACTGCAAGCTCAGGATCAATTACAAGTTTATATTAATCTTCAGGCTCATTAACACTGTCTATTTTTTTAAAATCCATATCTTTAAAACTACCATTTTTGAGACTTTGGACTATCCAACTGAAAATCACAATTCTTTGTAATGGCACGAAACGCAGCTTTATTGAATAGACCTTAAGCATTGTTCTAGAAAACTTTTCAAAATACCTCCATATCTCGATAACTTTGAAAAGGCAAACTTAAACACAGAGGCGAAGCGGAGGATAAAACAAAAGCGGAGGATAAAACGAAAGCGTAGCATTACAAAAGCTACAAAATCGACAGTGAGACGGAAATAAGTAAGTCGAAAAAAACTTTTTGAAGAAATAAGAAAAATTCAATCTCAGAAAAACAGATAAGAAATACTTCCACCAGAATTGAACACGCTTTATCTATTTTACCAGCGTTCACTAAGCCGAAAAACTTGGTAAGGCATCAATTGATCCGAAAACACAAAATGCCCAAGAATACTCATGACACGAATAATCAATTTTTATCCTTAAGCCCATGCAAAATTAGTTCACTAAAACAGACAAAATATGAGCCGAAATCAGTTTGGATGAATAAAACTTCTAAGTGAAAAAACCAAAAACGGTAAATATACCAGTCAAGCATTGTAAATTTAAAAAAACTACAAGAGTGATAATCAATGGCACTTGAGACTACTATGAACAATGCTTACAGCGCAAAAAAAACCGTGGTGTGGCAACTAAGCCCAAATAACATAAGCCGACAAACTATTTTCCGACTATTCAATTTTTCCCGGAAAAAAAATTTTGATTTCCGACACTGAAAAAAAAACACAAGATCAGGGTGCGAGTCGAACCACCGACCATAGGGCGCACAGGCAACCGCATTAACTCCAGGCCAAGAGAGAAGGGGCCTGGAAGTTACTAGGAATCGATAAAAAAGCAACATCAATTACAAATGTGTAAGTTCCAACTTTGTGTAGCGCTGAGGTTTTGGCACTCTCCTTTCACTCATACAATATTTGATTATAAAAAAATGGTCGGGGAAGGGCATTAGTAAAGCAACGACATGGCCAGAGCCAGATCAAAAATGTGGTGAGTAAATACAAAAAAAAACGGGGCGAGTTTTTGCTTAATTGGGGTTTTCGTGAAAAGGCGAATCAGATATCAAAGGCACATTACCCCAAATGGATAAGTAGCACAGTGAAAACCTGCTCCATCATTTTTTCAAGGGGATTGATTATTCCAAACCGCTTCCCGTTACTACTACTCAACCCAATAAAAAACAGTGGTGAAAGGCTAAATGATCACATGGGAGGTTAATGATTGATTTCGGTCGGGTGGGTTGGGGGGGGGGACGGTTAAGCACCTCTAGTTGAATAAATTAAAATAGATAACCCAGGTTTTCTGGAAAAAAAAAGTTTTTCTTAGGACAAGATTCTATAAACAGGCAGCGTAAAATTGTAATTTAATCAATATTTGAGCGAAAGAAAAAGCGCTGGAAATGAAAGCTGTTAATCACTGCATTAAATACTTAGTTTCAATCAGAAGGCATCACGGGCTCCATAAAAATGAATCAATCTTTCCTCAAGCAAATCTGGCGGCAAAATATACAATGAAAATTTCAGACAATAATTAATTTTCTTTGCTTCGAAATTTCATTAAAAAATATTTCTTTCAATATATTCATTGTCTTCGGGCACAGTTGCACTCAATAGATAACAAAAATCGTAATGGACAAGCACAAAATAACCGGGCTCTCCAATTGTGATTAACGCGCTGTTTATTTTGACGTTACTATCTCCAGTCCTCTTCTATCGAAAAAACGAATTTCGATATAAGTTAACCAATGTACGTGACAAATAGCTCACAAAATGCACTTATTTTGATTGCACTTCTTTCAACCACGTGTCCAGCTGTGGAATAAAGCTCTTCACAAACTCGGCATTCAGTTTCTTTACTGAACAAGACACTAGTAACTGTGACGTTCTTGGATTATGTGTGAAAAAACAGCCGGCCACTTTCTTCACCGTCGTCAACACTGGCACTTCGTCTGGACCCAGAAGCACAGTGGAGTGGATTGAAAATGCATCCGAAGATGACAAGGGAGACCTGGTCACAGAGATGTCCATTTATACAATTAAAATATGTCCATTTATACAATTAAAATTATAGAATATGGGAGGAAAAATGACCTTTCAGAATCTTGTATTTTTTGAAATATCGCAAGTTTAGAAGAAATTGTCTCCATTAAATGAAAAATAAACACTTAGGAAAAAGTCTCCAAGTCTCGTAATCCGATGCTTCAAAGAAACAAAATCTTTTGCATAATTGCTAAGTAACGCAAGCCAAATATCACGCATTAGCAGTACCAGTCAATTTAAAAAAATTACCAACATCCCTCAATTTATAGAGCGGACTCATTTTAACTAGCATGAGAAAAAATTCAGTAAAAACATCCGACCCCGCCCAGATTTTAACCCTCTTATTTTGCAGCGGCTCTCCTTCCCTACCTCTACGCAACAGATCCATGATACCTTGAAGCTAAAGTGCTATTTGGAATATCATATTCTGTATTAATATCCTTAACAGGGATTCCGGTTTTATGCGGTAATTTTTCCTATATAAGCACTTCTTTTTTCATCTTATATGCGCTGAAATATGCAGTTTTTTAATTATGCGGCAACTTGCAAGCATATGCGGCAGCAAGACATATTTTTTGAACGTTTTAATTAAAAAACTTAACGATTTAGATTGAAATACAGGAAATTAAGCATCGCAACCGTTGTACTTTTGAGCCTACGGTGGTCTTCCGATAAAATCCGTTGGTATGCGAAGAAACTTAAATCCACTTCTGCTATGTCGAGTACAAGAAAGCAAATACAAGAAAGAGCGCCAGGCCTGGCTAGAAGAAGTTGTTTGATCCGTAGTAATGTGTTTAAAATATTTAGTGTTTACGTGTTTAAGTTCACGTGTTCAATTTGCGTTCGTTCAATTAACTGAAAATTAGCCGCATATATGCGGTAAAACGCGGGATTAAAAATGGTTGCCGGACATCAAGCCGACGGGACTTCAAACTGAATCGTAAACTTAAGAACTTCAAGCCAAAAACTTTCTCATTAAGTCATGAAATATGATCAATATGAAAACTTTTATGAAGATCTTCTCAATTTCATGGTCTTTCTTCAGTAGTTATCGGCGTTTTCATAAAATTTAAGCCTCCAAATGATGTTTAGGAAAGTTGAAAAATAAAACACGGTG